GTCCCGGGCGGCCGCGGGCTCCGGCTCGGGGCTGTGCGCGGGGACGCTGCCCGGGTGGGCGTCCCTCCGGAACGGCACGGGCCGCGGTGCCCACCCCGCCTGCCCACCCACCCCTGTCCCTCAGGCAGGGGTAGGACGCGCGGACTCGGTTGGAAAAAAAAATTAAAAAACGGAAACTGGGAAGTACCAGACACCCCGTGTCTGAACGCGTTGATCTGGACGTTACTTGCTTCCCCGAATTTCCAAAACAAAATTATTATCTGAGGAGCTTTTACATCAGTCTGAATGAGCTGCGGCCGTTCAGGGCATGTGACCTCTTACCTGGCACTGCAGAACGTTTTCTCCAGAAATCAGAGCGTCTTCTGTTTCATTGGTACCCGGGGCAGATTAGTAGTATAGCGACCTGCCGGGCACAGGTGTCTTTTTCCCTTGGTGCTGAAGTGCATGCAGGATCGCCAGCAACAGAATTACTTTCTAGAAATAATAACAGCTGGAAGATTACGTGGAAGATACTATTGTATTATTCAGCGCCAGGATGTTTGTCTTTAAACAGAAAAATCTCGATAAAAGTGGACTGCAAATCCCTAGGAGTTTTGAAAATTTCAGCTTTGACCTGCTTTCCTTAGTTTAACCTTTAGGAAGGAAAAAGAGCCTCTGGATTCTCTGACTTTTCTAGCCGCAGACGAACCTCATTCTCAGGAACTACCGGTATTCCTTTTTACGAGGGCTTATTCATGGAGCGGTACCATTTTTCAGTTAGGTTCGGCTGGCTTCACTCCGTGGCGATTGTACCGCACCAGCCCCTTGGGGTGACTGGCAAAATTCCAGGCAAAATATGGGTATTTGGTTTGGGCTGAAAAAACATTTTTGATGTTGAATCCTTTTAGGAGAACGAATGGGATTCTGCAACTGCAATTTTTGAAAGTGCATTACAGCATTTTGAGCTTGAGTGGAACAGGTCATGAGGCTGAGGAGTAGGTGATAAACTGTTGAGCTGCCCCTGCTGGGCTGATAGAAAGAGCGCAGGGACTCAGCCGCCTCTTGGTGGCTGTAGCTTTGAGGATCTGTGGTCCGGTTCTGTGCTTCAGCGGCTTGGGGAGGGCTTTTGAATCCCTAGGAGGCGTGATGCTGGGTTGTTATCTTCAGCAGCGTGAACAAGCGCGAGGGTTCTGCCCCGGCTCAGAAGCACTTACAGGGGCTGTGGGCTCTTCATAGCGTATCATGTATAACATATAACATGGAGGTTGTCCTCGGTAGTAAACCTGCCCGCTTTTATGTGAATTCTCTGCAGTCCCTTTTTACTTTTGGAGCAAAGTGAACTCAAGCCAATCAAGGGGATCTTAGAATGCAGCTGAAAAGAAGAGTGTGGGAAAGCAGGCTGAGGAGGGAGTACGTGGAAAGGATGGTTGAAATTGAAGTAAAAAATGAAAGAGGTGTGTGCATGCCAATAGCGATGAGCTGAATCCGTACAGATGAGGGAATCATACTTTTGATGTCCAGCACAGTTCTTTGGTTTTGAGGCTTCACGGTGCTGGAACGTGGAGAGCCTGAGGTAGAGGGGAAAACCTGGAATGCCAGCACCGATGAGGAGTTGCTGAATCTTCTTTCAATCATGGGTGACTGAAGTATCTGACACTTTTCCATTGTTTCAGCCCGCATAATTAGAAATACAAATAGATTCGCGTTTCATGTGGCCTGTCCAGAATCAACTCTAATTCCAGAAGGTATTGTAGTGTTATTTATCTTCCTGTGGGTCAGAATTAGCTCTTTCCTTCCCACCCTCTTTCGGTTCCTCCACCCGGGTGAACTTCCTTCCTGCCTGGATGAGGCCGTTGGGGTTGAGAAACGCAGATGTCTTGGGAAGGGGCCCCGCTGGGCCCTGCTGCCGAGCTGGGTGGGTGGGACAGAGGCAGTGAAGTTACCGGGAGCAGTCAGCGTTTCACTAGATTGGATTCTTTATTTTATTTTTTATTTATTTATTTTTTCCGGTGCCGGGAATCGAACTCATGACCTCACGCTTGCCAGGCAGGCGCTGTGCCGCTGAGCTAAATCCCCAGCCCCTAGATTGGATTCTTAGCTTGAGCTTCAGTGTGTTGCGGGAGGTGACTGGAAGTAGACTCAGCCATGTGTAAGGGTCTGTTTATTATTAACTTACTCAGTCTGCAAACATTCAAATGCCTGTTTCTGCCTGACGCCCTGTGGGGTGCTGTTGTTTGTGCCCCTCCCTTAAAGTTAGGGTCCCACCACATTGCTCCAGCTGACCTCGGTGAGGCTGCAGCCAGCCACCTCTTTCTCTGCCCGTGTAACTGGTACTAAAAGACTGTGCAAGCACACCCAGCTTCCTGTGCTTTTTTTTTTTTTTTAACTAATTAATTAATTTTTAGCAACCAAGCTTACATTGTTCCCCAGTCCCCCTTGCTTGCTCCCTTTGGCCTGTTTGGCCGTTGTCTGGAGGGGTGGCTGGTGCCTGCCCAGGGCTCCTCTTTCCTCAGGCCGACCTCCTTGACCTGCTTTGGATCGCTGTTGCTTTTCCTACTTCTTCAGCAAGTTCTCTCCAACCCTGCACAATTCTCATACTGCTTGTCCCTGACTTCATAGTTCTGTTTTGTGTTTGTTTTGCATCATTGAGTACATGTGGCCTTGAGAGTCTGCTGCAGATCAGAGAGTCTGTTGGGCTCTGGTGATAGGAAGACCAAGTGATACTTGCTTCTGGTCAAACCTGAACTGAAGTGAGATGTCCATCAGTGAGGGAGTTTCGGGTAGTGAACCACGCTGTGTAAAAGGAAGTACAAACTGATCAGCCCTGACCTTAGGAGTGTTGTGCACACCCCAGCTTTTCTAGTTACCTGTGCAAAGGATTTCCACAATGACTGAGCTGAAGAAAGGCTATAAGGTGTAAGACGGAATGCACCCCATTGACCCCCTCCTTGAACTGTTTCTTGGCCCTTGTTTTCTTGCTGATTCCTTTATCAGAAGTCCGTGTACTTTCTACCGATCTTGCTTTTCTGCTTTCCCTTCGCAATGCCAAGCGAGCCTGTCTGCAAGATAGCTTTATCTGTTCTCCAGTCCCTGATCCCACATCACCGGAGGCCCTTGTCATCAGAGGCGTTCAGCTGTGGACAGACCACTTGCTGGCTGGGAGCTGAGGGATTCAGGCAGTAGCACATTGATTGGGTTAGAGCAGAGGCTCTCCGATGTTTGGATTTTACCGACTTGTTTTTTTTTTTTAAAAAGAAAGACACAGAGCTGTTAGAATCCAGCTGAGAATTATTGTTTCTTGTGTAGCTAAGTAAAATGATTATTGACAAAATGGTAAATAGCAATTATTAACCACCTTTTTATGGAAGATAGGGCATTTTAATACCTCTCTTTAAATATAAGGGAGGATATACTCTCTGAGGAAAGGATGGCCCTTAAATTGAGTAAGTTTAGTTTTATGACAACTTGTTGCATTATGACTGGAACTGTGACTTTTAATGTTCTGTGTGAGATTGAATCACCATGAATTTTCCTCCTGGGTGTGGATTACTCCAGTACTTCTTTGTCTTTTATAAAATGCACTGGAGTGTATTCTTGATTTTGTTTGATTAATTCTATATATAAATTGGGCATCCGACATCCTAGGCAAATCCTTTTTAAATAGGCCAACATGTTTAAAATACAACATTTAGAAGCAATGATGGCTCACAAGATAGTGGGGAAAGAAGACGTGGATCAACTTGTGCTGAAGACTGTTCTCTTAGCGACGGTTTGGAGGTGCACTGGGGCTCTTACAAAGTGGAGTCTGGAAATAGGGAGCGTGTGCGCGGTAGTTTGGGATGCCTGCGCTGTGTTTCTCCGCTCCCCCAAAGCCTGCACCTCTAGTTTCTGATTCACATTTTGCGGTGCACGGGGCAGGTGTTCAGTGTGTATTAGTGACTTCGTCTGTTGCTATGGCTGAACTAGGGCTGTTTATGAAAACTGGTGAATGTCTTTTCTAAGGTCAGTGAGAGGTTCTTTCAGGGTGAGAGAGGAAGGGAAACTGCTTTTCAGGTGCTGTTCTGTTGTGATCTACCAAATTCCAAATTATTGACTTTATGATGAGGCAGTTCAGGTTTTTAATTCGTACTTATTGAGTGCCTCCTGTGGTTTTGAGGTTGTCTCAGAAAACAAAATAAAACCCTTTTCCTCGTGGTTGAGACTTGGAAAATAAATCTAGAAATAAATCTATTGCTGATGCCAAGAAAATAAATCTATGGATGGTGCCAAGTACTGGAAAGGAAAATAAAGCAGGATAAGGGGATAGAGCATGGGGGCAGAGAGCCGGGGTTCAGAGAAGATCAGGGCGTCTTTGCTGAGGTGAAGCCCGAAGCGGGGGATGGTGTCCAGGTAGAGTGGAGAGTGAATGCCAAGGCCGTCTTACAGCAGACCCCCAGATTACTGCGCTAGTCAGTGGGCTGGTATGCTTCCTGTGAGGTAGACCCTGTATTGCCTTCCATTTTGGATTATTAGGGTTTGCTAAAAGTCCTTCAGCTAGTTCCTTCCACCTATTCTTCCTTGAAAAACAAGCCCTTGCCTTCCATGACACCACTCGTTCTTGGTTTCCTCCCTTAGTTTTTAGGTTGCTAAGTGTGGTCTACAGACTTCATTGCTTTACTTAGCCTTACAACCGTCTCGCAGTATGGGCTTGTATTATTTTCAGCAGAGGACACTGAGGTGGTTACTCTCCCGAGCTTGTAAGTACTGAAACACTGGAACTCGACTCTGTCTTTTCTGTTGCTTGTATCTTCTCATCTGCTTTTCCTGGCAGTAGCTGTAGCTCTCAGAAGTAGGCCTTGGCCAGTTCTTCTTCTAGGCTTTTAATCTCTACCTCATGGCTCCATCTGTATCTTAAGTCTGCACTCAGCTCTGTGCTCGGGTCTGTAGTGTTGAGCTTGCCTTATCGTAAGCCAGGATTCTCCAGCTGTTTCCTGTAGCTTCCATTCTTCTGTTCCCAGTTAAAGCGTCTCGGAGGTCCCCCAAGGTCCAGTTGGAGCCTTGTCTTCTTTACAAGTATTTCCTGTGTATCCCAGCTCATTCTAGCTCATTGTTGCATTCCAATAAAAATTGTAATTGTAGCCCGTAATCCTGCAGCCGTGTACTGACATGTGTCATTCCTTGGTGTGTTTGGATCTAGCTGCTTTCTCAGTTAGAGCCAGGACAGTGAAGAAAGACCCTGGGTCGGCCTCTCTTGCATCCCTTCGCCAGCCTAGTCCAAGGCTTGCAGTGGGCATCGAGGCGGAAGTTACTATATTTGATGTATTAGTAACTGTGGTCGTTTTCAGTATTGCTAAGAACCTTGAACTGAAAGTTGCCATTAAAATTAAAGGCAGCCAATAAAGTCAATGATAATATATCTCCATACTCAGCTTAGCCCTTAACCTGAACATTTCTTCTAACTTTGTGGTGTGTAAGGCTTATACAGTCCGCTTAGATAAGTAGGTGAGGTGTTGTTACCTTTGATTTTCATACTGCGTTTCACATCGGACATACTTGTGAGCTCAGTTTTTATAAGTGAGCCGTCTGAAGCCCCGCGGGGCTGAGTGAGTACTCCAGGGTCGCTGGCGTAGTGTTTGACTTGGGCAGGTACAGGTTAGTTCTTCCACCTGAGTCTGGTTCTCGTTTAGTACCTCTTCATCCATTTGCTAAAAATATAGCCCATAAACTGAACCGCCAGGTGATACTGCGCCCCCTCTTACCAACCAAGTGATGGCCATAGTAGAAAGACTTTTAGTGTATGTGCTGTTCACAGGAGCACTAAAAATGGCAGATAAAAGACCTGGAAATACGTGAAGTGGATCATCAGCCTCCTTTTCCGTAGTGCAACGCCTCAGAAATCTTCCACTTTGACAGAGCTTAGTTAATGGTTTGTAAGGTATTCTTTAAAAATTGACTTGCATAAGACATGCTTTCACCCCGGTCCCTTTCCGCACTAATAGTTGCTGTCAGGGACAAAAAGTGCCTGATTGTGCTGTGTTTGTCGTGTAGGTGGGAGGGGAAGAGGGAGAGAGCTGAGTTGAACCAGAGCTTTTTACAGCTCTATTGTTCTACTATCAGAGAACAATTATACTCAGCTTCCATCAGCCTCTCCACCTCAGACATCCCGACTGCCACCTCCTGCAAAGGCTTCCCCACTCACTTACCGGAAAGCCGCTCCAGGGAGCCCCTGGGCGGAAGAGGGGAGCGAGTCCAGTACCTCCCCTCTGGCACCTCCCCTCTGGCCTCCACAGGCTCTGGGCTGTGGTTTTAGCAAAGTTGGGTATTTCTAGCTTTTCTAGATGTTTCCTTCCCAGCTAGGAACTCAGACGTACAACTTTTTTTTAAACAGTATATGTGTTATAACTAATGTATTCAGTGATGGTATGATATCGATGAGGTGTTTTGTGATTTGATGCAGGATAGCAAGTTTTATCTTACAAGATGCTTCTTGTCTCTTTCTAAGGGCCTGTGTACTGAAGAGAAAATCTGAGCTCTGTTTTTCTTACTTGTGCTGGGGATTAGCGTGGAGCCCTGTGCACACTGAGTGTACACTGCCATTGAGCTGCGTCCCCAGCTCAGGCCAAGTTCCATGTCCACAGTGCAGACATTGCCTTTTTAAAAAGCTGTATTATTTGGCAATACGACTATATATTTGTAAACTATAAGTTGTTTGCTGGCTCTTTGACTTAAAAAGAGTTTAAGTTTCACGTATTTGTAAATCTAGAGTGTGACTTTCTGCTTTAGGTAGTAGTAGTAGTAACTGAAGCCATAATCCTCGCATCAACCAAAATGTGTGTCCAGTTGGGAACACGGAATCTAACTTGACACCCTCTAAGTGATGTGGTTATTTGGTTGCAGTAAAAGATGTGGAAGCCACAGGCGTGGTGGTGCACACCTGCAGTCCCAGCACTCAGGAGACTGAGGCAGGAGGATCGCCATGAGTTTGAGGCCAGCCTAGGCTACGTAGTGAGTTCAAAGCCAGCCTTCACTATACAACGAGACCCTGTCTCAAAAAAAAAAGATGTGAGTGCTTTGGTGGGAAAGCATAGGCTGACGTGACAGGTACTAGTTGGGATACTAGTTACAGGGGAGTATCTTCCTCGGATATGCTGCACTTGTGCGCAGCAGCGTGTTAATAAGATGCCAACTTCTGAATGCACGTTAGCTGGGAAGACAGCAGAGAAAGTAGGAGAAATGTTGTAAAGTAACAGGGAAACTTCAGAGCAGTACAGCATGGGTGAGGACTTGGAAAACAACAGCTGGCGATGTGAACGGCAGAAATTTGTGAGTAATGGTGGGTGACTCATTGCAAGCAGGGGAGTCTTGCGGCTTTTGAGGTGAGCAGGCAGAGGGGAGAGCGGAGATGGTGGCAAAACGGGGGCCAAGTATTTATGTCTTGAACGTGACAGTGTCCTTGGTTCCCCGTTAAATTTTGCAGCTGGAACATGCCCATGAATTGTAGCATTGTTTCCACCAGAAAACCCATAAACAACGCACATTTTCTGAAGCCTTTGTTCTCAGTCTGTGCTGATTGTCCTGGGGTGGGAGGTAAGAGGGTGGTGAGGCATATTACAGCACATATTTTTTGTTATTTTAAAAATCACCCCTACCCCCGGAGATGCTATCATTCTGATATACCCAGTCCTGAAAAGGCTTGTCTGACTCTTCAGGTGAGGAGTGGTTATGTGTGGTTTTGGAGAAATTGCTTGTTATTCCCCTCCATTGAAAATCACTGTTCCAAAGCAAGTAATACATAGCTGAAGAAATTGTACCTTGTTCCTAGTGTCCTAAAAAAAAATATTACTGTAGGACTTTGCTCCATCTTGTTCCATCTTGTCTTTGTTTTCATCAAATCAATGCAGTCTTTAAAAAAATTATAACAGTAGGTTTAAGCCTTTGGCAGTTTATGAAATGTTGACTGCTGGAGGGCAACAACCCAGTGGAGTATTAATTTTCCTCCTCTCTGCAAATGTAGTTACTGTCAGTAGCGTGTTCTTAGATGGAGTGGCAGGGTCATCTCAGCTGAGAAGCCAGCCTTTCCCACAGCTGGGAGTTTGTAGAGGTGGCTGGAGGAAGGTTTTGGGATTATCTCTTATAAAGCATGGCATTCGCCAGGTCTAGGCCTTCAGAAATCTCAGCTTTTCCAGAGTATGTTTGGGTAACCATAGGCAACTGGATAATTGCAAGGCTAGTTGTAGAGTGTGGAGTTGGGGGAGACGCCTTCCAAGTGAAAGAACTCTGACAAAGTGCTTCTTTTTGATATTTTAAGGAAGACAGTTCTCAGATTGAGAAGCTCTTTCAAAGCCTTGCATGTTACTTCAGAAGGGAAGCAGGGAGGTGTCACTCTGGGCTTGCGTGGTCTCACTTAAAGGGTAAACCGCTTACCTCCCACTTAGCTCGTGCTCCTGGTACATGGGCATTTTCCACATCTATAGTTTTAGATGTGACGTGTCATTTTCTGTTCCTCAGTTGTGCTTCTGAATGAGAGGCTGCTAGGGCAGAGCCACACGGGAGATGGGAAGTGATGGAAAGGGCATCGGTGTTGAAAATAGACCCATGCGTGCAGCAGGGGGCTGCGTGTCTAAGCGGCTCTCAGAACAGAGAACACTTAAAAGGAAAATTCAGTGCTATTTCTTACTCTTTTAAGTCTTTGAATAAAGACTTTCTTCTTTGCAGAGTTTCTGGAGTGCATAAAAAAAAAACAAAAAAACCAGGGGCTGCAAATAGCTTCAGGAGGGCATTGAAAGGGGCATTAATCGTTGTTTTGGCGACTTCCTTAAAGTTCTAGAGGGCCCGGAGTTTTCATTCCTCATTTCTTAAGCAAAGCTAAATGCTTTTGACTTTTAAGTGACAGTGTTCTTTTTGGGTAGAGTTGCTTTTGCTTCCACTGTACGCATTGAAAACTCTTCTATGAGAGTTTTGCTAACCCTCAGTGTAGTAGTGTTCCTCTGTTGTAGCTCCTGCGTTACTGAACTAGAAACATATTGATGAATATTATCTTGCTGTCGTGTAGGCATCCATGGGTACATGGCTGGAACTTGGTGTGGCGTCCATGCAGCTATGCATTTTGTCCCTTCCCCAGAGTCCTACTGTTTGCTTTGTAGTGAGAATATGCGCCTTACACTATGAAGTGTTTCTCTCATCCCCTTCTCCAGACCTAAGTACTCTTTCCCTTTTTGGGTTCTAGACTTGCCAGGCTTTCCCTTCCTTAACTCATCCCACTAAGCACACTCCTCAGAAGTTCATGGCTCGTAGTGTGCACCTCCTCATCCTCCCGTTCCAGCTGTGGACTTTCTGGGGCAGCACCTTATGCAAATGCAGCTGTTAGCCCCCCTTAAAACCTGCCTCGAGTGGTGAGGAAGTAGAGTTGATGTTACTTCTGGTAGGCGAAGAATCAGGTGTATCAACTCTTGTTCATCCGGGGCTGAGGGGACGGGAGAAAATAACTTCCGTACTGAATTTTGGAGATCACCTTGGTGTTGAATGCCTGGATTTCGTGACTTCCTTTACCGTCCATGTAACCAGCGATTCTCGAGTTTCTGTCTCTAGATTTTTCTGTTTCACTCTAGACCATCTGTGTCTGCTGTTCCGATGTCTTCACTTGGCTGGCAGAGTCTTAAAACCAACATGTATAAAAAGCAGAGCTCTCAACCTTGCTACCCCGAACCTGTTGCATGTGCAGCCTTCCTTGCCTCAGTTAATGGTCTCTCGATCCTTCCAGTTGCGTAGGGGAAAAATAAAAAGTCACTCTGACTCTGATTCTGTCAGTGAAGCTCGTTGGCTGTACCTTGAGGATATCCAGAACCCAGCCACCTTGTCACCCCGCCCTGGGCCGCTACCCTCTCTCACTGCATTACTACAGTAGCAGCCCCCTTTCCAACTTGGCCCATGTAGACTACACTCAAGCAGCAACCGATCCTTTGGAAACACAAGCCCGACTGTGCCACTCTGCTAATTGTGTCTCCCTGCCCCCCTGGAGGTAAAAGCCAAAGTCCTGAGTATCCTGCGAGGCCCTGCACGATTGGCGCCTGTTCCGCCCCTCAGACCCAGCTCTCCACACCAGCTGCCTGGGTCTCCCAGTTCCTGGGATGCGCTCCAGTGACTCCTGCCCTCCAGACACCCTCCCACTCCCAGTCATGGGTTCCACTCCTACTTCTCAGTACAGGAAATTACACCCTTCCACACCATCACCCCACACCGCTCCCTGCCTTTCCACTGCCTGCCCTTTCTTTTCTCCTAACACGCCATCTACCTTGCTGATTTGGCCCCGACGGGCAAGCTGTGTGAGCACAGGACCTTTGTTTTAGTCATTGATGCATTCTGCAGGAGGGAAAGAAAGGACAGAGATGAACAACGTTTGCTTTTTTGTGTGATACGCAAGTGTGGTTTTTAAAGGCTTAATTTGGAATCTTGACTCTCTTATTTAATACCGTTATTGTGGTATCACTTATATACCATAAAATCTGCCCGCAATTATTGTACAAAATAGTGAATTTTAGTTAACTTGTAGAGTTGTGCCACTGCCACTTCAAAAATGTCCCTGTGTCCACTAATTTGCAGTTAGTTCATCACCCTCCCATCCCATACTCCAGTGTTGTCAATTTTTGTGGACCCCACATCTTGAAAGACTAATGTGTAACAGTACTAATACAGCCCTGTGCTCTTGAACATTGTACATTTAAGCTGGGAACAGTGGTACATACCTGTAATTGCAGCCACTTAAGAGGATGAGGGAAGAGGATCACAAGTGTGGGATAACTTGGGCAATTTACTGCTGTCCTGTCTCAAAATTAAAAAATAAAAAGGCGTGGAGATGCAGTGGGAGAGTTCCCCTGGGTTTGATCCCCAGTACCAGAAAGAAAAAATGGGTAAACTTATCTATGAAATTAAATATCTTTGTTTAATGTAGGAAATGATGTTGAACATTAGTGGAAAGTCAGATTTGGTGCAGTCTCACCTAGCTGCCATTTATCAAATTATCAAGACTATTTTTTTTGGCCTCAGTTTCTTTATCTGTTAAATGAGGATAATGATAGTAATTAGCTTATAGAGTTATTGTGAGAATCATAAGAAATGAAAGTACAAATGTACTAATAAAAATAAAAATTAGAAAACAGTGACAGTAAACTAAGCACAATGGGTGTCATGTGGTAAATATTTAAACATGACAGATCCTTTACTAGTGTAGGCTGAAAGAACATGGGTAAATATCCTTGCAGGTAGAAGCAGAATTTGCATCAGATTCTAAGTGTGTGAAGTTTGTGTAAAATGTGTTCCTCCTCTCTTGGCTTGTAAATAACACGTGACTCCAGCAGATTGTAAAAACCAGTTAATTTCCACCAGAGAAGATCATTTTTCAGCATTTTTATTTGGTGATCTTGCCTAAACCATTTTTCCTGAATTTTCTGTGCTCACATTTGCCAGAACTTTGACACCAGGGACGTAATTACCTACACAGTTGAAACCGTCGTGACCATCGGAAAGTGTCCCAATTGTCTTACTCTTACATTGGGCTTTTTTTTTGAGAAACTGCCTCTGAATGAGTAGAGGAGGGCGGCATTCAGTTTATCTCTTGCAGTGTGATAACCCGGCACTAAATCATCTTTAATAAGATCTTTTTCTGTTTTTTGTTCTTTTACGTACAGATGCACAAAGCAGGGTCATCAGAAGCCTCTCGATTCAAAAGATGATAATACCGAAAAACAGTGCCCAGTGACAGTGAATCCTTGGCACATGAAGAAAGCCTTTAAAGTCATGAACGAATTACGAAGGTATCATCGCTTTCATGTACATGTAACCATCAATCTTTTCCCTTTGTTTTGTGTCTAGTGAGTATAATGTCCTCCTCCATCACTGTTGCTTTCTTTGATCAAGAACATCAAAAGCTTCAAGGAAGAGAGGGCTGGGATGTAGCTTGGTGGTGGAGGTGCTTACTGGAGGCTCTGGGTTCGATCCCCAGCACTGCAACCTAGTAGGGGGAAGCATAATTTGTCAGTAGTGTAGATAGTATAGGGTTCCTCTATCAGATATGGTAGCCGCCGGCCACAAGTGGCTAGTTAAATTGACATATTCTATGAGTAGAAAATATGCAGTAGCTTTCTAGGAGTACAAAAAGGATGTAAAATGTTTTATTAATAATTTTTAAATATTGGGGTTTTTTGGTACCAGGAATCATACTCAGAATCTTGCGCTTGCCAGGCGCTGTGCCACTGAGCTGTCTCCCCGGCCCTAAGTATTGTTTGTGTGTTAAATGACAGTAGATTGTATATTTATGTTAAGTTGAAATTTTTTTGGGGGGGGTTTGGGGGGTTTTTTCCGGTACTGGGAACCGAACTCAATGACCTTGCGCTTGCCAGGCAGGCGTTGTACCGCTGAGCTAAATCCCCAGTCCCAAGTTGAATATGTTATTAATGCTAATTTTATTTTTTACCTTCTTCCATGTGATCACTAGAAAATTGTGATTTGCATTATATCTCCACAAGATAGTACTGACCTAGGGCTTCTCACAAAGATTGTGGAAAGAAACTTCTAGAGAAAACAGCAGTTCTCTTTTTGGCGGTGATTTGTGGCAGGTGGTGGCAGTCGTTCTAAGGAGTAGTGACCTGCCCACCTCTAAGGTAATTCTCAAGTATGTCAAGAGCCACTGAGTCCATTAACAGTGATTGGATAATTAAAGGTGAATGCATATGTAAGCAGCTTTGGATTTGTTTTCTTAGCACTTTACGTAAGATTTATTTTTCTTTAACATTCCCTTTGTGAAAATACTGTATATATCTGAAACGTTGAAAGGCTGGCTGAGAAGGGAGTGGCTGACACTTTCCCTTAACCTTCCTGTGCTAGGACTTACTAAAAGCCCATGGTTTAGGTCTCTCATTTATTTGTTTCTTCTTTGGTTAACTGAACCACTGTTTATCTTCCAGGTACTTTAGGTACCATGATGGCACAAACAGATGCGATTGCTGCCCTCATGGGACTTAGGCTTCACTTCTGGAAATAGGCATTAATCGGAGGATCACAGAGACAATTTAGTATAAACTGTGGCAGTAGGAGGGCTGCTTGGGGTTATGCGGGTGGGTGACAGTGGTCAGGAGAGGCTTCCCCGAGCAGAGCAGAGTAATTAGACTGAGATCTGAAAGTGATCAGATCTGAGATCTGAAAGTAGGGGGTGAAGCCGGGCTATAGTGGGAATTACCGGACAGTGCGTGCTTGAGCAGTGCAGGGCACCCCGGAGGTTCCTGGGGCCCTGTGGGTGTGGCAGGGAGGCTGAGTGAGTCGGTGAGGGCCGGCCTGCCCACCGCCTGATGTGTGGAACTTCATCAGGAGGTGCCGTCAGCCACTGGAGAGTTTTAAGCAGGAGTGTGTCATGATCGGATTTGTGTTTGATCACACAAATACAGAAATGGACCCTGACTACAGGGTA